TAGAGAGAGAGAGAGAGAGAGAGAGAGATTGTTTGTTGCTACAGATAAAATCACCTATGTGAAGTAGTTAAAAAAAATCCTATGCAGCGTGTTAAGACACTTCTATAACAAAAAAGCAAATTACGGTTATTTTACAGATTATGACAATGAGGACTTTCCTGACAATATCTATATAATCAGATTCATGATTATCAGATTCATTCTCGTGTGACAAGAATGGATGTGATGATCATTTCCGTAGCAATCACAGCCGACAATCTTGATGTATTTACTCCTGATAGCAAGGGAGGGCATGAAGTCGATCAGGGAAATTATGAGGTAAAACAGACAGAAATAAGAATAATAATGAACAGAAATGCATAAAACGAACACAAAAACACTTAAAATTGGCAAACTTTACAGACATGTCCGCCATCTCAAAGTCTACGGACTGATGTGCCAGCTTTCAAAAACCCTACAGGAAACCAATCTATCTTTTGGTAAAATCTACAGGAATCTGCCCCACCCAATGCGTCCTGACCAATAACATAACCTTATTCCGTCACAAACTTTACTTAACAATCTAAGTTGCCATGACTGGGTGTACCCTTTGGGCACTTCCCAGATGGGTGGGTTGATAGGGGGCTCTTCCCCCCAACCCCCTCCAGGAAATATTCTCTTTACCTTGGTATATACAGCTGGACAGACCTACATACATACCTTAAAGAATAAACCAAATACCTTTATATTTCAAGACACCAAACTGTATATTTTCTGCGTGGCTTGGTTTCTAATCACCTTTTCTGGCACTTTGGGAGACTTTACGGGCTTATATATCAAGCTGTGATAGCTACTAAGGTCTATTTCTTCTGCACAGCCACTTTATTGTTTTACAAAGGACCCAGAATCAATGCAACAATAGAAATGATATATTCCTCAATGGCATTTTGTCAAGGAATGGCACTTGTGAGGTTTTGAAAATCCTCGTGGAAAGCACAAAAGCATATTAGGTTTTGGGGGTAATTCTAGAGAAGGAATGTTCGTTTTTTCCCTAAATTTCCCCCTGTCCCCAACAATTTTGGGAGACATGTGGGGAATCATGGGTTTGGGGCCCTCACACAAGCTTCAATTACACACCTGTACAGAGAATACATATTTTGTAAAGACAAGCTAAATTTCAAACAAAATTACCTTTTTAAGGTTATTGGAAGGTAATTTAAAAAGTAAAAGAAAGTGAGAAAAGGATAAACCCAAGCCAAGATTCAGCCTTGGAAGATTCAACACAGCATTGCACAAATGAACCCTAGTCTAAACAAATTAACTACTATAAAGATAGCCGTACAAGCCAAAAACCTTCCTAACCTGGGGACTATGCCCCCACACACCCCTACGATCGCCATGCTTCTCGAGACAATCATCGTGTTTCCCTAACAGTACAAACCAAAAACCTTCCCAACATGGGGCCTGTGTTGTCTGGATTTTTGAGTTCGCAGGATACCTTGGTTTTGGGACAGTCTCTGGCGGGTGCATCGCTCTTGGCAACAAGTATCTATTCGCATGATATCTATGAACAGTTATAAGAATAAAATCTAAAGACTGAAATTCCAACCTAAAAATCAACATACAACCCCCTTTCCTTCTCAAACTCAGACACTGACTAAACGGAGACACTCACAAACACCTGACAGACAAACAATTTAGTACCAAATACCACATACCCAGCAGGACGTGGGCGCGACAACCTCGTCCATAGGCCTACACAAGACCTGAGCCACTCCCCAAAAGGAAAGTCCTGCTACACACTCGCTCCGACGGGAAAATATTATATACAACCATAGATACTACTGCAACTATTAACTCCCGATTCATGCTGTTTCTAGATACTTACTCTCAACTCGAAGCACGTTTCCCCCGTCTATTTAGAATGTATTGTGATTTTAACAATGTATGCACGATTTGACAGGAGACGTTGGAGCCGAGAGACACTGCCGGTACTTCAACCTCGTCTCACGTACTTACTTAGCTAGACATGCCATTATTTCCACCCTCTCTCCCTTGCCCTGGAGATAAAGATGCCCAGAATGCACAGTAAACCATTGCCTTACCTAGAACTAGAGAGAAAAAAACGAGAAAAATAGAGTCCCTTCCGATCGGACTTCTGGACACCCGAAGAATGACAAGTGATGACCGCGATGCGCACGGGGAACGTCAAATAATCTCAAAATTCGAATATTGTTACATTTTCCGTGATTAGAACTCAATCTATATCTGATTATTTAATACTAATAAGTATTGGAGGAATTATACATTAAAACATAACGGTAAAAAATCTAGGAACTTACTTCTACATGTAAATAAAGAGAATAAAAATATTTACGAATGCATATTTTCCATAAATACAATAATAATTTACAAAAACCTATTCAAACCAATATTAATATTACAAAACTCATAAATATCACCTTAAATTACGAACAGCAAAAATGATGACACACATGAGTCATAGTATTGTCTTGGTTCAAACTCGAACGTGGAATGTGTTTGGTGCAAGTCACTGATCGGAAAACCGGGACTACACTCGTTTCTCTCTTATTTTCTGATTTTAAGCCCTCGCCATGACTTTACAGTGCCTCATTGGTGAGTTCTAGGGTTCTATTTTACGTTGAAGAGTAAAGATTGGTAATTTGGGGGGTGGGCGAGGAGGGATTTTTGTGTTTATGTAGTATGTGGGTTTCTGAAATGTCATGTCATTTTGTTGCTCTTGATTTGAGCCTGTTGATTGAAAATATCTTATTTTAGACATTACATTTAGGGATCTTACGTGGATAATATATCCGAGGTTCGCTGCAGCTTCTTATTTTGAATAAGATAACAGGTTTACCTATTGTCTTCAATAACTTGTGTTCATGATACTCTTTTAAGGTAGAGTTGCACAATAGTTCCTCATTATGAATCCCAGTGAATTTGGTGTGGACGGATTCCTCTCACTCTCTAGTAATCAAATATATAGATATTATTGCGTGGGACCGACCACCCATTAGCGACAATTTCAATTTTGACCTCATCAACACTGGAAGGCATGAAAGGTACTAAGGAAATTGCGGGGTAAAGAATGAGTGATATATACAGTATCAGTCCCTGTATTGCCCCCAGGGATTGCCCATGGGGAGTTGCTGCCCCCCCAAATCCTACAATGGAATGTAAAAAATCCTCCAGATATTCACTGCAGGAGAGAGTGTACGACCATGCAGGAGCACTTGACACAGAATCTGTTTTGATGCTATATATTTCCTATGTATTTGGATACTAGAGAGTGAGAGGAGTCCATTGATGCCAAAATCGTTGCAATCTGATGTGCAGAACTATTTGTGATAGTGTTGAATATATAAATATATATTTGGTAGTTTTTTAGGTATTTACCACCAAGAGCAATGCACTCTCCAGAGTTGAAGTCCCAAAACCAGGGTATCTTGCAAGCCCAAAAACCCAAACCTAATCTTTCCTAACTTCGATATACTCCCTGGACAGGGGAGGAAGCAAGCCCCCTGTATTCCCCCTTATTAGCACGCGTTCCCCGCACAAAAATTATTTGGTAAAATTCTGTGCACTTAACCCATTCACGGCAGGTATATTTTGTAGCCAAAATAAAAAAATTCGGGCAGCTACAAAAGTCGGTGGGCGGAGCTTCCCCGGAGTCTGTCCGCCTGCCCGGCCGCGCGCCGCTGCTGCGTCGGAGCACAGCCCCGATACAGCGTCACACTGGACGCCCGGCAATGTTTATTTTTTCTGGTGTCTCATATATGTGACACCCGGAACGAATGGGTTAAATGTAGTTCTCGGATAAATTTCGGTGCATGCTTAGTTCTTTTTAAAATTATCTTCCGCACATAAAATTCTTTGGACGTGTCCGCGCACTTGTTTCATCATCCAGCCACAGATCTGTCCGTGCAAATGTAGACAGAATGATGTTTTCCGCACATGAAAAAATGTAATATTCCCCATGCAAGGAAGATACTCTACAGCCTGGCATGGCCATTAAGCACTGTGGCTGTGTAAGGGTGTTGAGGACTCACTCAAATAGTTTTGTTATTTTGCAGTAAATGTGAGGCCGCAGCAGCTGTACTTGTGTTGTTCAACTCTATTTATTATGCTCTATTAGATGGTAGTGTAGAGTTCTGTCTATCTCGATAACATTAACCATTTTAAATTTCACACAACCATCTAATCATGCAGTTATAATTTCTTGTTATGATTATTTACCATATTATATGCGCAAATCTGTAGTTGTTTTATATCGTAATTCTTTCAAGCTGAAGTAATC